AACTCTTTCAACGTTAGATGATGCATTAATTTCGTGTTTGTAATTCTCATTGTCCTTTAAGACTTCTAAACAGGAACGTAAATTATTTCTGAGCTTAGCGAGAGAGTTGTTGTCTCCCCTTTCAATGCGAGGACCTACCGTGACTCGTTTTAGGGATGCTTTGACTACGCTAGAAGGATGACCATACTGAGACTCTAATATTTTCATGGCTTGACTAAAACCGTTTGATTTCAGTTCACAATGTTCAATTGCGTCTCTAGCATCACCTTCCACGAAACTGAGAAGACGAGTTATTTTTTCTCTTTCATCAAACTCTCTTTCGTTTAACCAAACCTCCACTCGCTTCTTAAAAACAGGAAACTGAGCAGGGTCACCTCTAAATTTCATTGGCTGGGGTTTCGGAATCCCTTGCCGCTGTAACATGGCTTTCATAACAGTGGTTGTTTCGGTTCCCTGCTTCATGGCACTAACCAATTGCTGATTCATTTCGAGTAATGTAGTTGTTAAATCAGGTTTAGTTTTGTCAACGCTTGGTTTAAACTCGGGTGTAGATGGCTCCGTGTCATTGCATTTCTCAGAAAGGGACGCAATCCCTTGCTTGTTATCGACCACTGATTCGGGTGGCGATTTGACTAACTCAGGCCGAGTTGAGGGGTGATCTGTCTTGTAGAAAGCTCTGTCCTGTGGTGTCGAATTTTTTACATCTACCTTCATATTAACCCTGTTGCCAGCTACAGCCTTTGATAAACTACGCATGCTTCCGCAGTCACTATATCTTTCGTCTGCCTGATCGGCTGCCAAAAGTTCGGCTTCTAACTGAGAGTACTCCGCTTGGTCCCGCAAATCTTGTAACTCACATTCTATCTGTTCTTGCATTTGTTTTTCCTTTGCTTTTGCTCTTCTCTCAGCCTGCTCTAGTTTCAACCTTGCTAATTCTGCTGAACGAGCCGCTGTCTTCACCCTAGACGACACAGAGGACCCCCCTGAACGTCTACTCTTTGACGACCTTGACATGGAAACACTACTTTGTACTGACACAGAAAGTTTATCATCATCCTTAAGGTGAAGACCATTCTCAAACTTTGAGTCTCTCTGTAAACTGCGAATGCTCTTGTTAAGTTGACCAATAGCTAGTTGATTACATTCATTTATTTTTCGTTCGAGACTTTGACGTTGGATGCTAAGACGCTCCAAGTCACGCGTGTTATTAATCAGCTGAGAATAATCTTCATGTACTTTGAGGTACTTAACCCACTTTGAATGTATAGTGTCCAAAGTTTTTTCAATTTCTGTAGTCTCAATATTACTATAATCATAAGTTTTTAAAGACTCTGTAGATACTTCAATAATTTGCGAAAGTTTTAATAATTCATGCTTTAGTCCTTTGGAATGTATTTCATTTAAATATTCTGCGTACTCACGCGGGACCTTCCGGGTCCGAGATGTCCTTCGTAAACCGTCGTCACTTCCGGCTTGTTGACTTCGTCGATCGCGAAGTTCGTCGAACTGTTTTGCACCGATTTCATCCATAAAAGATCAAACTATGTTGGGAACGAACCCAACCGAATGTTGTTTATATATCAAATAATAATCACCACGTCATTACACTTTATTTACTCTCAAATTTAGTTTATTCTAAGCAGTACATCATGACAAATATCTTGTACATATCAAATATCCATGCATCATTCTGTCCTCGATTCTGTCCGTATTTCGACTAATATCGGTCGTAAACAAAGGTTTGCTACATAGAATTACAAATAACGTTCATTAACAACAAGTTCAAGTGTTTCAAAGTCAAAATGAAAGAAATACTTACATCTTATGGCGATTTTAAAGCAGATTACGTTTGTATATCTATCACGAATATCAATAGTTTTCCAAAAAACCTCGCTCGCGAAGACTGGCCCTAAATTAATTATGCTAATGTCAACAAACGGCGCGAAATAATTAGATTAATTATAGTAGCGTCCGTAACAGGAACCTTGTCCTCAGCGCGATGAACCCTGTTCTCCGCGTGAGGAACCTTGTTCTCAGCGTGAGAAACCTTGTTCTCAGCGTAGGGAACCTTGTCTTGAGCGTGAGGAACCTTGTCTTCAGCGTGAGAAACCTTGTGCTCAGCGCGAGTAATCTTATCTTCAGCGTGAGAAACATTATCCACAGCGTGAGGTACCTTGTTCTCAGCGTCAGGAACCTTCTCCTGAGCGTGAGGAACCTTGTCTGCAGCGTAGAAAAGCTTGTCCTCAGCGTGAGGAACCTTGTCCTCAGCGTGAGGAACCTTGTCCACAGCCTGAGAAACCTTCTGCTCAGAGCGAGGAACCTAACCTCAGCGTGAGGAACCTTTTCCTCAGCGTGAGGAAACTTGTCCACTGCATCAGGAACCTTGTTCTCAGGGTGAGAAACCTTGTCCTCAGCGTAGAGAACCTTATCCTCAACGTGAGCAACCTTGTCCTCAGAGCGAGGAATCTTGTCCTTAGCCTGAGGAACCTCCCAGCGCGCGGAACCTTGCCGTCAGCGTGAGGAACCTTGTCCTCAGCGCGATGAACCCTGTTCTCCGCGTGAGGAACCTTGTTCTCAGCGTGAAAAACCTTGTTCTCAGCGTAGGGAACCTTGTCTTGAGCGTGAGGAACCTTGTCCTCGGCGTGAGAAACCTTGTGCTCAGCGCGAGTAATCTTATCTTCAGCGTGAGAAACATTATCCACAGCGTGAAGTACCTTGTCCTCAGCGTCAGGAACCTTCTTCTCAGGGTGAGGAACCTTGTCCGCAGCGTAGAAAAGCTTGTCCTCAGCGTGAGGAACCTTGTCCTCAGCGTGAGGAATCTTCTCCTCAGCGCGAGGAATCTTGTCCTCAGCGTGAGGAACCTTGTTCTCAGCGTGAGGAACCTTGTCCTCAGCGTGAGGAACCTTGTCCTCAGCGTGAGGAACCTTGTCCTCAGCGTCAGCAACCTTGTCCTCAGCGTAGATAACCTTGTTCTCAACGTGAGGAACCTTGTCTTCAGCGTGAGGAACCCTGTCCTCAGCCTGAGGAAGCTTGTTCTCAGCGTGAGGAACCTTGTCCTCAGCCTGAGGAGCATTATCCTCGCCGTGAGGAACCTTGTCTTCAGCGTGTGGAACCTTGTTCTCAGCGCGAGGAATCTTGTCGTGAGCGTGACGAACCTTGTCGTCAGCGTGAGGAAACTTGTTCGCAGCGTAGAGAACCTTGTCGTCAGCGTGAGGAACCTTGTCCTCAGAGTGAGAAAACTTGTTCCCAGCGCGGGGAACGTTGTCCCCAGGATGAGGAATCTTGTCCTCAGCGTGAGGAACCTTGTCCCCAGCGCGAGGAACGTTGTCCTCAGCGTGAAGAACCTTGCCCTCACTGTGAGGAACCTTCTCCCCAGCGCCAGCAAACTTGTCGTCAGCGTGAGGAACCTTGTCCTAAGCGTGACGGAGCTTGTCCTCAGCGTAGAGAACCTTGTCCTCAGCGTAGATAACCTTGTCCTAAGCGTGAGGAACCTTGTTCTCAGCGTGAGGAATCTTACCCTCAGCGTGAAGAACCTTGTCCTCAGCCTGAGGAACCTTGTTCTCAGCGTGAGGAATCTTGTCCTCAGCGTGAGGAACCTTGTCCTCGCCGTGAGTGACCTTGTCTTCAGCGTGCGGAACCTTGTTCTCAGCGTAAGGAAGCCGGTCCTCAGCGTGAGGAACCCTGTCTTCAGCGTAGGGATCCTGATCCTCAGCGTAGGGAACCTTGTCCACAGCGTGAGGAAACTTGTCCTTAGGGTGAGGAACCTTGTCCCCAGCGCGAGAAACCTTGTTCTCAGCGTGAGAAAATTTATCCACAGCGTGAGGAACCTTATCCTCATCGTGAGAAACCTTATCCTCAGCGTAGAGAACCTTATCCTCAGCGTGAGGAAGCTTGTCCTCAACGTGAGGAACCTTGTCCTCAGCGCGAGGAATCTTGTTCTTAGCGTGAGGAACCTTATCCTCAGCGTGAGGAACCTAGTCCTCAGCGAAGGGAACTTTGTCCACAGCGTGTGGAACCTTGTACCTTGAGCGAGGAACCTTGTCCACAGCGTGGGAAACCTTGTCCTCAGCCCGAGGAACGTAACCTAAGCGTGATAAACCTTCTATCCAGCGCGAGGACCCTTGTCGTCAGCGTGTGTAACCTTGTCCACGGCGTAAGGAACCTTGTCCTCGGCGTGGGAAACCTTGTCCTCAGCGTGAGAAACCTTGACTTCAGCGCGAGGAACCAAACATCAGTGTCAGGAACATTATCGTCAGCGTGAGGAACCTTGTCCCCAGCGTGAGAAATCTTGTCCTCAGCGTGAGCAACCTTGTTCTCAGCGTGAGGAACCTTGTCCTCGCAGTGAGTAACCTTGTCTTCAGGGTGTGGAGCCTTGTTCTCAGCGTGAGGAACCCTTTCCTCAGCGTGAGGAACCTTGTCTTCAGCGTAAGGATCCTGATCCTCAGCGTAGGGAACCTTGCACTCAGCCTGAGAAACCTTGTCCCCAGCGCGAGGACCCTTGTACTCAACGTGCGAAACATTGGTCATAGCGTGAGGAACCTTTTCCCCAGCGCGAGAATCCTTTTCCTCAGCGAAAGGAACCTTGTCCTCAGCGAGAGGAACCTTGTCCTCAGGGTAGAGAACCTAGTCCTCAGCGTGAGGAACCTTGTCCTCAGCGTGAGGAACCTTGTTCTCAGCGTGAGGAACGTTGTTCTCAGCGTGAGAAACCTTTTTCTGAGCTTAGGAAACCTTGTCCTCAGCGTGAGGAACCTTGTCCTCAGCGTGAGAAACCTTGTCCTCAGCGCGAGGAATCTTGTCCTCAGCGTGAGAAACCTTGTCCTCAGCGTGAGGAACATAGCTCTCAGCGTGACGAACCTTGTCCTCGGCGTGAGAAACCTTGTCCTCAGCGTAGAGAAACTTGTTCTCAGCGTGAGGAACCTTGTCCTCTGCGGGAGGTACCTTGGTCTCAGCGTGAGGCACCTTGTCTTCAGCGCGATGAATTTTGTCCTCACCGTGAGGAACCTTGTCATCAGCGTGAGGAACCTTGTCTTTAGCGTGAGAAACCTTGTCCTCAGGGTGAGGAATTTTCTCCTCACGGTGAGGAACCTTGTCCTCAGCGTGAGGAACCTTGTCCTTAGCGTGAGGAACCTTGTACCCAGCGCGAAGAACCTTGTTCTCAGCGTGAAGAACCTTGTCCTCAGCATGAGGAACCCTGTCCTCACAGCAGGGAACGTTGTCCACAGCGTGAGGAACCTTGTCCCCAGCGTGAGGAATCTTGTCCTCAGCGTGAGGAACCTTGTGCCCAGCTCGAGGACGTTGTCCTCAGCGTGCAGAACCTTGTCCTCACCGTCAGGAACCTTGTTCTCAGCCTGAGGAACCCTCTCCCCAGCGCCAGTAACCTTGTCGTCAGCGTGAGGAACCTTTTCGTCGCCGTGAGGAACCTTGTCCTCGGCGTAGAGAACCTTGTCCTCAGCGTAGATAACCTTGTCCTCAGGGTGAGGAATCTAGTTTTCAGCGTGAGGAACCTTTTCCTCAGCGTGAGGAACCTTGTCTTCAGCGTGTGGAACCTTGTTCTCAGCGTGAGGAACCCTGTCCTCAGCGTGAGGAACCTTGTCTTCATCGTAGTGGTCCTGATGCTCAGCGTAGGGAACCTTGTCCACAGCGTGAGGAACCTTGTCCACAGCGTGAGAAACCTTGTCCTCACGGTGAGGAACCTAACCTCAGCGTGAGGAACCTTGTCCTTAAGGTGAGGTACCTTGTACCAGCGCGAGGAATGTATGTATGTATGTATGTATGTATGTATGTATGTATGTATGTATGTAAAAATTTATTTAAAGACGCTAGCCTTGTCAACAAAGAGAGTTGATTTCCACAAGGGGCGTCGACATTTGAAAATTTACAAAAACTATTTACAAAAAAGACAAATATAAGTACAAATACATGCGATATATATAGTAATTAATTAGAATGGTTTAAAAGGAAGTTGGTGGTTTGGTGTGATTTGGCCATATAAATATGTCTGTAATAATCCATTTAGATTAATATTAGGTTAGTTACTTTGCCTTACAATATTTTTAAAAGAACATATTGATAGGGCTTCCTTAGCTTCACCAGGAAGATCATTCCATAGTTTAGCACCACTATATCGAAAACTCTTTTTCAGAAAGTTGCGTCTTTGCTTAGGAACGGCCAGATCATTCTGAGCATTTCTGAGATCGTAAGTCGTTTGCGAAATATTCCTTTTTATCAAAAACTCTTTCAAGTTCGGCGAACTATGGTCGTTTAGAATTTTATAAACAAGAGTTTCCTTAGTTAATTTTCTTCTAGATTCTAAATTGTCCCATTCAAGAGATTGAAGAACGTCAGCAGACCTGATCTCATAACCAGCACCAGCTATTATCCTAGCTGCTCGATTTTGATACTTCTGCAAGTTGTCTTTTAATGTTTTGTTACAAGTGTCCCAAAGGAGAGAACAATAATCGAAGTAGGGTTGTATCAAAGCGCTATAGATTGATTGCAGCATGTTTGCAGGAACGAATGGCTTGATGCGCCGTAACGTCCCAATACCTGCTGCAACCTTTCTGCAAATTACGTCAATATGCTCATCCCAACTCAACATTTCATCAATGGTGGCGCCCAAACAAGGTATTGAGGTTACCCTAGGAATTGGTTGACCATTTAACATTACAGGAATCTCATTATTTATCTTATGGAGATTATGTTTAGATCCTACGTACATTAATTTAGTTTTGGATGAACGGTGTTGCAATTTGTCTTGTTTGAGCCATTGACTTATGTTATTCAAGTTACTGTTATTCAAGTATCATCAGCATATAAGCACGGGATTGTATTCTTGAGATTATTTGGGAGATCATTAATAGAAAGCAGGAATAGAAGTGGACCTAAAATAGACCCTTGAGGGACTCCGCAAACGAGATTTCTAGGTGTTGACATCATGCCATTGACAAAACACACTTGTTCCCATATTAGAAATGTAGGATTCAAACCATTTTAATTCGATATTTAAAACTCCAAATTGTTCTTTCATTTTACGCAATAAAATATTATGGTTAATTGAGTCAAACGCTTTCCGAATATCAAGAAAAACAACACCGTTCAACACTTCATTATCCATGTTAGTGTACCATCTTGTCCTCATCGTGAGAAACCTTATCCTCAGCGTAGACAACCTTATCCTCAGCGTGGGGAAGCTTGTCCTCAACGTGAGGAACCTTGTCCTCAGCGCGAGGAATCTTGTTCTCAGTGTGAGGAACCTTGTCCTCAGCGTGAGGAACCTTGTCCTCAGAGTGAGGAACCTTGTCCTCAGCGTGAGGAACCTTGTACCCAGCGCGAGGAACCTTGTCGTCAGCGTGAGGAAACTTGTCCACAGCGTAAGGAACCTTGTCATCAGCGAGAGGAACCTTGTTGTGAGCGTGAGGAACCTTGTCCTCAGCGTGAGGAACCTTGTCCTCTGCGTGAGGAACCTTGTCCTCACAGTGAGAAAAACTTGTCCCCTGCGCGAGGAACCTTGTCCCCAGCGTTAGGAATCTTGTCCTCAGTGTGAGGAACCTTGTCCTCAGCGTAGAGAACCTTATACTCAGCGTGAGGAACCTTGTCTTGAACGTGAGGAACCTTGTCATCAGCGTGAGAAACCTTGCCTTCAGCGTGATGAAACCTTGTCCTCAGCGTGAGGAACCTTGTTCACAGCGTAGAGAACCTTGTCGTCACCGTGAGGAACCTTGTCCCCAGCGTGAGGAACCTTCTACCCAGCACGAGGAACCTTGTCCTCAGCGTGAGGAACCTTCTACCCAGCGCGAGGATCCTTGTCCTCAGTGTGAGAAAACTTGTCCACAGCGTGAGGAACCATGTTCTCATCGTGAGAAACCTTATCCTCAGCGTAGAGAACGTTATCTTCAGCGTGACGAAGCTTGTCCTCAACGTGAGGAACCTTGTCCTCAGCGCGAGGAATCTTGTTCTCAGGGTGAGGAATCTTGTCCTCAGCGTGAGGAACCTTGTCCTCAGCGTGAGGAACCTTGTCCTCAGCGTGATGAACCCTGTTCTCAGCGTGAGGAACCTTGTCCTCAGCGTGAGGAACCTTGTCCTCAGCTTGAGGAACCTTGTCGGCAGCGCGAGAAATTTTGTCCCCAGCGCGAGGAACCTTGTCCTCATCGTGAGGAATCTTGTTCTCAGCGTGAGGAACCTTGTCCTCAGCGTGAGGAACCTTGTCCTCAGCGTGAGCAACCTAGTCCTCAGCGTGAGGAACCTTGTCCTCACCGTGAGGAACCTTGTCTTCAGCTTTAGGAGCCTTGTTCTCAGCGTGAGGAACTTTGTTCTCAGCATGAGGAACCTTGCCCTCAGCGTAGGGAGCCTGGTCCTCAGCGTAGGGAACCTTTTATGTTTTAAAGGATATGGCAATAAAAATTAAAGTTTGTCTTATTTGAAAGAACTTTTAAAGTTATGTATGAAGATCTTTTACAACATTTTCGTACCTTGCTTGGTTTTCGAAACATTTCGACTAAAACCAGAATGCCGTCCGCCATCTTGGTATTATTATTGACTTAACTGAGTTTGTGATGAGGTCAAAAGCAGGGTAAACTTGTTAAAACTTCTTCATGTGGTACTAAATTTCTTCGAAAATTTCTTTAAATGTTGTGAGTTAATTAAGTACTAAAAACAATTTGGAAAATCAGGTTTCGTATTGATAATGACATGTGGTTTGCAAGATAAAAATTTCGCTCTTTACTGTACTTGTGACGTATGCATGTCGAATGCATGTCCAAGGTGGCGGAATGCACGCTGCTGTTGATCCAAATATATAAGTCGATTTATTTTAAAAATCAAGCATGAAATGAAATAATTGTAGAGAAGTTTAGGCTATATATAATTTTAAATGTTCTTTCAAATACGACAAACTTAATTTATATTTCCATGTCCTTTGAAGTAGATATAATTATGTAGCCTGTCTGTCAAAATGAGAGCCAGACTAGTTTTTAAAACATTCTCATTCTGAAAACGTAAAATTCAAAAATATATAACAGTGTAATAGACTGTAATATATAATAACATAAAGCATACCCAAAATTTATTTCATGGTCATCGGTTTACATGTATAGTATATTTGTAGTTATAATATAGTCATTCACCGTATATGAGCTGTCTTGAATTACTCGCCGTATATCATCTTATATGCAGCGAGTAGCGAAGAACAAGATGGCGGTCCAAAAACAACTTTGAGTTTTGCGAAGCAGAAAAAAGGAAAATATTCGCTTTGAGAATGATAATAGTACAAGGAAAAACTCTCAAAAAAGTTTTACAGGTTAGCAAAATACATTTATTACAATAGAAACTAGTTTAAGTACAAGTATTTTAAAGAATAATAATACCGAAACAACAGCGAAAAAAACATGTTCATTGAGAATATAAATTGTTCAGAAAAGTTTGCAACGAAAGACAAATGAATTTGCAGTCAACAAGCTCTTACTATACTACCAAACATCTGTATAATATATCTGAGCTTTTCTGTGAGATATACCGTTTCTAAAACCATTTCTGTCACTTCGTCTTCGAGTTGTAGGCCTAAAACAAAAGTGTTTCAAATTTTCAAGGCCAAGCGGTTTTTGGCCGAACAAATTGTCAAGACATTGTAACAGAGAATAATTAATTATTGTTTCAGTTAATGGCTATTAGACTATATTATAAAACAAGTATACCATTCGCTCTCGTCGTATATGGCTGATAGCCGACTCGGTGCTATGAACCTCGTCGGCTATCATCATATACGACTCGAGCTCATCAGCTTATGGTATAATTGTTAATTATTAGCCTACAAGTGCTACCTTGATTTCTGCAATTGCTACTTCTTCTTGGTGTCTAGCATATGTACTTGGATTTCTATTAATAATAATAATATGACTTTATTTAAGCACGATGATGTTTAAAGCATATAAGCTTGTGGGGTCATACATACATACATACATACATGACTTTATTTAGAACACGGAGAACCATCAGTACATTTTATGAAAATTATCTATTTACAAATAAAAGCAATTAATATAAGTTAGGAAGAAGACAAGATTGAAGGGAAGAAGAAAAGAAGGAGAGGTACTGTTCTACCTGGTTGCCGTGTGGGAGTCGGTAGGACTGGAAGAATATAGGGATTCCAGACTTCCTTTAAACGAGGAGAGGGATGATGATAATCTAAGAGATTCAGGCAAGCAGTTCCATAGTGATGCTCCACTATAACTGAAGGAGCGCTTAAGATAATCAGTATTGGGCTTAGGAATAAACAACTTGCCATTAGAATTTCTTAGTAAATATCTGGATGAAAACAATTCTTGTAAGTACTGGGGAGATTGACCATTAAGTGTTTTAAACATAACAACAGCTTTTTGCTTTTGACGGTTAACCGACAAAGTGTTCCACTGCAGCTGATCTAGAAGTTGACTAGATGAAATATCGTAAGAAGAACGGGTAATAACACGAGCTGCTCTGTTTTGAAGTTTTTGAAGCCTATCACTTAGAGTTACTCCAAGGCCGTCCCATACTGGAGCACAATAGGAAAAGTATGGTTCAATAAAACCTTTATAGTCTTTAATAGCAGTTTCTTGGTCAATCAGCCCGCGCACCCGTTTTAAAGCTCCAATACCAGAAGAGATCTTTTTAGTGATGACCTCAACATGGTTTCTCCAAGTAAGGTTTTCATCCAAGGTTAGCCCTAGGGTTTTAGTTGAACTAACTTGCCTCACTGGCACATTGTCGACCGAGACACTTGACTCGTAATTATTAAAAGTTGCTAAACGCTGACGTGAACCAATGATCATGAACTCAGTTTTAGCAATATTCAAGCTTAATTTGTTGGCTATTAACCATCTGTTTAGGTTAGTCAGACTAGAATTCATCAGAAATTCAAGGTGAGATAAATTATCACTACTAAAATTTAGGTTGGTATCGTCAGCAAACATCCTTGCGAAACCCTCATTCAGGCAGTTTGGGAGATTGTTGATATAAACCAAGAATAGCAGAGGCCCGATTATTGAACCCGGAGGAACTCCTCTGGATGTAGAAGAGATACCAGAAAACTGACCGTTAACAAAACACTTTTGCTTACGATCAGTTAAATAGGATCTAAACCAAGATTGTGCCAAGTCATCCACACCATATGCTTTCAACTTTGAAAGTAAAATGTTATAGTCAATAGTGTCAAAGGCCTTCTTCAGGTCAATGAAGACTACGCCGTTTAAAAGACCTCTATCGATATTGACACACCAGTTATTAGTTGCTTCTAGTAAAGAAGTGAGGGTGCTGTAATTAGACCTAAAGCCAGATTGATAAGGATTGATAAGCTGATTATCAGTTAAATATGCATAAAATTGGTCATAAACGAGCCTTCCAAAACTTTTAGCAATTGCAGATATGACTGAAATAGGTCGATAGTTGCCGAGATCACCTTTATCCCCATTTTTAAAGATAGGTAAAACTCTAGCCATCTTCCAATCATCCGGATAAATTCCCATAAATTCCCATAAATTCCCAGGGTCGTGCACTTAGAGATATATACAAAAGTTATAAATTATATAGAATTAATCAACTACTATCTATTTACTATGTCTATGAAAATCTTGAACATCTTTATATATTCTTACATTCGGCTTTGGTTGTGCCACATTTGCATATGTCATAACATGCCAAGTTTAGAGTCCTATACGGGTATCCAGCACTCAGGTTGGTCTTTTTTAAACAAGCCTAAAGTTATAATAAAAATAGGGAATTATCCCTTGCAACAAAATCAAGGTATTCGATAATACATCTATTCAACGGATCCTATACAAATATACTACAGTAAAATGTACGTTTTCTCATTAAGAAAAATTGTTTTTGAACAATGGGACTCCCGAGCCAATAGATTCACAACTTAGTGTGCCATTTGCGAACGAAAACGAGTATTTTAGGTCCAAAGAAAATCAATGTAGTATACTTTACTGCCCTGACAGGAGTTGCAAGGTCTGGTGGAGTAGTGGAGGTCCCATGATCGCTATGATCTGCATTAGTCTGTAATTTGTTTTTGCAAGCAGCTTTCTTCTTGGCAAATGAACACTCGTCACAGCATGCAGTTTACACTCGCAGTCCTACATGGACATCCCTTCGATTTTGTAGTTATGTTTCTACTACATGTATTTTTGCAATCACAGACTTGCAAAAGCAATCTCTTAGAGGATTTAGCTTGTTATACTTCGCAGTAAAAAGAGTAAAACCAGTAAAAGCTATAAAGGGTCCTAATACGTTTCAACTATACTTTCTACAGATCATTCGATCTGATTCCATTCTGGGAAATTTCCAGTTCTGGTAGTGGTCGATTGCAATACATTGCAATCCATCCATTGCAATCGTTAGAAAAGCGATGTAACTTTTAGTACTTTGTTTTGTTTTGCACAAGTGCTATGTTTTTAGTGTATGACTATTTTCGAAGACAACACTATTTTTAGCTCCCGGCCCGTATACATAAATATTTACATAGCGCGCAATGCATCTTGGTTGACCATGATTCTTTAAGGCAGACTTATTCTTAACTTACTCGTTCTTAGGTCCTTGCTTCGAATTTTCATGCAGAAGAGCTTGTTGAGCGAAGTCCACTTTTACATCATCAACTCTAGCTTCTAAAGCGCGTTTATACAAGCCAAGCAGCATGATTTCTGAGCAAATTTACTAATAAAGTCATAACTTGATCCTCTTCAGAGATAGGTACACCGATAGCTGCCAGTTTATCCGCGATACCCTTCATGTACTTAGAATATTCCTCTATAGACCTTCCTTCTTTCATCTCCGTTCTTTCATCGCCAATGTATCTCGCTCAAAATGATTCTTTAATACGTCCCACGCTTGCTTCGGATTTTCGTACTTAATTGCCTTGTGTCGCCGTTTCGTCTTTTGATTTAGAACGAAATTGTGTCGCCGTTTTCATCGGATCAGACCCTGCTAGCTCTTCCGAACCGTCTAGGAAACCCCACAGTCGTTTCGCTAACAGCAAATGCTTCATTTGAATTTCCAAGTACTCCAATTGCGCCCTTCTAACTTGTCGATTGACCATTTCCCTCCGTTTAAGCCGGTTTTCCAGTAGGTGGAATTTTGCGCGCGGAGCGGAATTTTTCTTTGTCTTGTGATTTCTCGGGTGGAACTAATTAGAAAAGGCGAAGGGAAATTCCAGGTCGCGCGGAAAATTCTGCCTAGTTGAAATCGGCATTTAGTCGTCAACGGACCAGCACGAAATATTGGGCCCACAACCTGTAGACAAACTCATATAATCCGACTGTTGTTTTGTGATAAATGTATTTCTAACGAAAAAACTTTACGACAACAACATGTTATATCTCATGGAAATTTGAATAAATTTAAATTTCCTAAATTGTCTATTGTCCTAAATTGGATATAAAGCATGCATTAACTAATGTCAAAAACACTGTTAATTAACGTCCTTTAATTTAAATTAATGACACTATTAATGATAAACGGCATAAAATTCCGCTTTTCAAATGCGTGAGTATAATCGGAAAACAAAAATGGAAATGGGAACGAAACGGAAAACGAATGTAAAATCCGATTACCGTTTTCCAATTTACTTGGAAAACGAGAAATAAAAGCGAAATATTAAATTCTCGTTTCCGATTTCCGGTATTTTGACAAATCAAAGACATAAAGAGTTATTACACTGGTCAAAAGTATACTTTACAACATACAGCTATGCAACAATGGAATCGTACCAGATAAGCTTTCTCATTGGTGAGTAGATATACAATATATACTTCGTAATTCGTTTTTTTGTTCCATAATTTTTAACCTTTCTTGAAAATGACGAATTCTTGTAAATTCAACCAACTACCATCGACCACGTAAATAGACTTTTCAAGTTTCGAATTTCATTGAAGTTGTAAATATAAAATTAATAGACAGTAACGGAGAAAAAGCTGTTATGGCTGAATCCATGTTGTACGGCTGTGATTAATCAGCACGCTTTACTGATATCAGAAATATGCAATATTCACATAAATTTTGCTTTAAAAGTTTAAATTATAGAAAGTGGTTCACACGATATGTTTTTGTTGGCAAGGTCTGTTCACATGGCCAATTTTATTTTGCGATTTTTTCATAGGCGTCGAAAGATCGATAAGTGAGGGAGACCATATTCATATATTAGTGTTCTGCATTATTAATTTCTTTTGAAAAAGATTGTTTTTAAGGTCTGTGAACACGAATATATGAATATGGTCTCACCACTTATCGATCGTTCGACGCCTATGGGCTTTCTCCTCTTGTTGGCGCATGCGATTGCCTGATAAGTAGAAGAGTTCTGAATGCAAATTAGAATATAACTTGCTCCAGCAATCTCGCATGCATTCTTTTGTGGGTACACAGAACATGTCATGTGAACGACTAGTTAACACAATAACAGGAAGTGGCATTTACATGCCGTCAACTACACACGCAAAAATCTCACATTTTGTAACAAGTCTGACAACAAGCCGTCGACAAGTTGTGTTTGCACTGGTTGTCCCAAGTTGTCAACAGTTTGGAAAAAGCCGTTAACAACTTGTAACAACCCTGTTAATTAATGTTATCAGACTTGTTGCAAAGGTGTTCCAACAAGTCGGATACAGTCATGATATAACAATATTGTTACAACCTTGTGTAGTCAACCTTCTGACATTCTTGTTATATCGTACTGTATCAGACTTGTCAGAACAACCTTGTTCCAAGTCTAATAATGCCAACAAGCTTGTTACAAGTTGCTCACAGCTTGTTCTAAACTTGTTACAACAACTGGGAACAAGCAGTCCGAACACAACTTCTTTTTTTTATTTTAACGTTTTCGACCATACATACAATATATACATATATATATATATATATACATATACATATACATTTAGTATAAATTTTTAATGAATAAAACAAAATATCCAAATATCAGTTCAATTAAATTTCAGAAATAAAACTGTTTTCGGCCTGTTCACTAATAGTGTTGCAGTGTTTCTTGTACGCACACGCTTTCAAAATGGCTTCTTGTGTGACTTTATTGCTTTATTACAAAGTTGTTTTTCTCGATTTCTGCTTGGAATATAAACACAATAACGGAATGACTCTTTCACCAGACTTAGAATTAAAAATAGCTCCTGTTTAGCATTAATTTCTTCAGGAAATGGCTGAGGAATTTGGCAAAATGAAATGTAAAACTATATCGTTCGAAAAAAAGTTTTAATAACACTTTTTACTTTACAAGTTTCGAAAACACAATACAGCGGTCAGAACACCTTACAGCACAATGAAAACATGACATATCTAAAGAAATATTATCGTACAAATAGGGAAATTGATAGGATACAAAACAAAATTGTTTTAGAAAGAATATCACAGCTTTTCCCAACAGTCGGGTAGCCGGTTTTGCAAATTGTTTGAAGCGAATGTTTTAAATAAGTTTTAAATTGTCCGTGAATATGTTTGACACAGTAAAATAATAAAGAAATCCTACCTTTCAAGCTAAATACAACATTTTGTGCTTTTTCCTTTTTCTGGGACGATTTTTTCAATATTTTGTCGATTTTCAAACCAAATTTGCCGGATCGTTCTTTTTTAAAAGCATTATTTACTAGTCTGCTAGTAAATATGCCTCAGATTTACTAGTCAACTAGCCAATCAGAACGCGCGAAAGCTCATTTGGTATGCAAAATTTATACTAAATATATATATTATATGCATATGAGTAAAATACCATAAAATACGACACTGATATTTCCCGTATTTCACTATAGTGAAACATGAAATCATATCTTACGCGGGAACGTCTCGCGCGGGACGCACGCTAATTCCCGCCATTTTGCCGTTTCTGTTTTGAATATACAATATGGCAACTTCCCGACATTTTGTTCATGTTTCCGACGCTGATTTGGTAAGGTTTTCTGAAGAAAATGAAAACACAAAAAGGAAGACTAAGTCCGATTTTGCGATTTTCAGCGACTATTTAGCCTCGATAAACGAGCGGAGAGACATGACATTGTTGCCGTACGGTGAGCTACAAAACATCTTGATGAAATTTATTTTGGCCATATAATAAAAAGAACATTTCACGGTGGCAAATATCACTAGCCTCCCAAAAAACTTCATTTATATAAAGCTTCAAATTGAAAATAAATTTTATTAAACTTCAAATGAATAAATACATGTTGTAAAGATACGTTTCGGGGCACAGCCCCTTTGTCAGAAACGAGATAAGTTCAAATCCATGTCTTTAAATACTTTTGACCTAATCCTAATTAACATACACTAATGATATATGTAGACTTGCATTAATATTCCTCCCTCAAATTTAATCCCAGTGGTACATATGTATTCAATTTTTCAATCCAAAAACTTTCCCTCTCTGTAGGTTTATTAACATCCGTGATATCAATAATCTGTGCTTTAAAATCATTAAGACCCGAATGGCCTTCCTCAAAAAAATGTTCATACAAATGTTGACCACATAAACCTCTTTGGCCCTTAGAAAATCTATTAAGCGAACTGTTGTGGTTATTAAATCTAAGACGAAATGACGTTACCGTATTGCCCACGTATTGTTTATTACATTTTCCGCAAGTAATTAAATAAACCACCCCCTGAGAGTTACAATCAAAGTGATGGTTAATGTGAAACGTGCGCCGTTGTACTGTACTTTGAAAAGTATCCGCTACCACGATGGAATCACAAACCTTGCACTTTTTCCCCCCACATTTAACCATCCCTCTAGCTGCAACCTCAAGCTTATACAATTTAGCCCGAACAAGATGGTCTTTAAGGTTTTTGGATCTCCTAAAACTCACCATAGGTGGCTCTGGCATGACACTTAGGAACTTGCTAGATAAGCCTACAATATTTTGCAATTCCCTAAAAATTCCATAAATTTCCCGCAATGCTGGGTGATAATCTATGATAAAGGTACTCTTATTATTTTCTCTGCTAGTTTGCTCACTTCCCCGTTTAAATAATGCCGACCGATCCAAAAACCTGACTCTCTTAAACTGGCTCTCTACAAATTTGCTATTATAGCCCCTTTTAACCAGAAACCCTTTCAATTCCTGAAGCCTACTCTCAAAAACCTTATCTGAATGGCAAATGCCTGTCCATAAGGAATTCCCCTCTTAACATGTGGAGGATGACAAGACTTAAAATTTAAATACTTTTGTGCATCAGTGGGTTTACTATACACATCAGTACAAAAAAAAACCATTATACACCTTATTCCAAAATGGCGCCCGCTAACATGAAAGCGAGGCAAAGGGGGCCAGATTTCGCGAAATTATTATAGATTATACGACGAGGGAGAAGTTTTTAAAAATTTTTGCTCACTTTTTGGCCGAAAAAGATATTTCCTTCGTATATGGACAATTCGATACCGCTAAAGATGAAATTTATGGCAAAATCCGTGCTTTACGACGCCCTGCTGTGCTATAATCGCGAGATTTATACCGCAAGGAGTGATGACAACAACATGGCCATATCAACTGTATCAAGTTACAAAAAACTAGACTATAATAAACCATGTGTTCGAGCTCTATATTCTTTCGGGTCGACTTCAACAACAGTGCTGTGTTCTAGGCAAAATCTACGGAGTGTATTCAGAGCGAGAAAAAACGATAAAGTTGATATATTTGATTATTTGTGTTGGGAGTTCGCCGATCTGTGTTTATCTTTCCAAAATCACATAATGGATACTGTGTTTTGTGGACCACGCTTGTTGTCAGAAGAGGATATTCCTGGCAGCGCGCTTTCTGGTCGAAAGCCTTCTGCTCTGAAGAATTCCGAGCTTAAGTTCTGGCTGCAATGTCGCGGTGATTCTTGCAAAGGGTTGAAGACGAAGGCGCTACTTGTCAAAAGGCAAGTAAATAAAATGGCTTTTAATAACGTTAAAATTGTGATCAAATACATAAGTTTTTATTGATTTTCAACATGCATGTTTATAGTGTTTACTTTTACCTTTAGGGTAGATGAGTATGTAAGCAGAGGCTTGGAGGGGAATATTGTTGATCCTGACGAGTCAATGATGTATACCAAGCGCAAGCTTCATCAACTCCATATGGCCAGCACAACCACATCTGCTAGTATGCCCAGTACAAGCTTGGGTGCCTCAACGCAAACAAAGCACACACCGAAGTTTCCTACAGATGGCTGGGGCACATCACTTTCAAAGGCACCATTCTTTAGTCGAGTGGAGATAGACAAACACATTAGAGAATCTGGGAAAAATGTGGGTGGTGGGAGTTATCACACACTGCCTACAGGGCTTATGAGAGCCAAAGCCTATTTGCAAGATGAATATTTACATGGTATTCAGACAACATATGACCAACGCTATTTCTTCTATCGTGCCAAATGCTTTCATAGCTTTAAAAAGAATGAAAGCCCTCATGAATTGAAACTTGCCTTGTGTGTGGTTTCGGGTGATATTATTCATGCGTACTGTGGTCCTACATGTGCAGCAGGAAAGTCTGGGTTTTGCAACCATATTTTGGCACTAATGCTGAAGGCTTGCAAATTCAGTCTATTTAACTGCCAGAAGGTAACTGACCTGAAAGACGAGGATGATGAAAATCCTTCTTCAGCATGCACTTCATCCCTACAGCAATGGCACCAACCAAGAGTCGAAGGAATCGCACCACAACCAGTAATGGAAGTTGTTGTGATGAAAACCCATACAGACGAAAAGAAAACGGATGGTGTGAAGTGCAAGCTGTATGAAGCAAGGAAACAACAACAGTCAAATGTTGCTAAATTTCTAGAAACTGTTAAAGAAATTGATGCAACATTTGGCTTAGTTCAGACTTGCGAAGTGAATGAAAGTTCATCACAAGTACCAACAAAATTTGGTTGCAGTCCAGCTGGTTCATTTGGCTCCTATCAACTTTCATTCCAGGAGTCTAACTTTAATGTGACATCTTCATTCGAAATAAGTTCATCTACAAGCCATACCCATACAGTCATCCCAAATTATCCATCCTTCCCACTGGATGATTTGAATGAAAGTTATGTATTGCCTGTGCCAGAAGGTTTGGATAATGCACAGAAAAAACTTTTAGATAGTTTAACAGTATCACTAATAGATGCCAACAAACTAGAACAGGAAACCAGGGAACAGTCCAGCTGTGATGAGTGGGTACAAGCTCGAAAGCTGCGATTTACAGCCTCAAGATTTGGTAAGGTGGCAAGAAGAAAAAAGAACTTTGAAAAGTTTTGTTGTGATCAAATCACTGCAAAGCCTTTTAAATCTCGAAGCACTGAACATGGCATATACTATGAGCCAATCGCCAAAAGGGAATACCAGAAATACATGGAGAAGATTGGTCATCCAGTTAGTGTAAAACAATCTGGGTTTTTTGTCTCCCCCAAACTTTACATTCTTGGATGTTCACCTGATGGAAAAGTAATTGATACTAATGCTGGTAGCAATGGAGATGAGTTTGGACTACTAGAAATTAAATGTCCAAGCTCCAAATTTACTGTGACTCCAACGGATGCATGCAGTGATAAAAACTTTTGTCTTGAGATTCAAGGTGATATGCCAAAACTTAAGAAAAACCATGAATATTATGATCAGGTGCAAGGACAGATGGGACTGACTGGAACTAAATGGTGTGATTTTGTGGTGTACACAAAAGTAGGCATGAATGTTGAGAGAATAACATTTGACCAAGACCACTGGCAACAGCTCCGTGAAAAACTTTGCTCTGTGTACTTAACACACTTTTTACCTGTTGCGGCAAAATCGAGCTGATAAACAAATTGACTTTAACCTATTGAGTGGCAGCACTCTCCCCTGACAAGTAAAATAATCTGGCGTTAGACACAATAAGATAATAAAGTAGGGCGCATTGCCACTTGAAGGGTAAAATTGGGAAATTGAATTGAGAATTAACAAATTGAGCTTGTAAACAAATTAACATGGGGGCAATTGCCATGGATCCTAAGTTTGTCTAAGGCCAGATGATTTTACTTGTCAAAGGATAAATGTTGGGTTAGTAATGGGTTAATATTTATTATTAGTCTTAATATTTCAATGAGATAACAAATAATGAAGTCATCATGCAATTCAATATAATGAATTTAACAAACTTTAATTACTCATTTTTAATTATACATATTTTGAATTTTTAGGTGACTTTATACTATGGAATATATTGTCACTTGCAACTAAGGATGAACAGTCACAGATAAAAACATTGTCTATCATGATTGGTTGATCAGTTTTAAACTCACATGCTCTTGACAAACGTTGAAGATTCTCAGTGAAAACATTGAACTTTGTCATGAGAATAGACAAAAGTTCAATGTTTAGTTGCAAGCGATGGTATTTCTGTGAAAACAAAAAAACTGTTTCATTTGAGGACTAGAATAATTGTATATATTTTCAGAAATATTAAATTAAAAATAAGGGTGTACATACAAATTATTATAACTAGTTATGTTAATTACCTGATCATTAAAACCATTTGAGTTTGGAAAAAAGCCACTGAGTGATTACCCATCAAAACTGACAAAAGTGACACAGTCATGTTTGAGTGATTATATTTTGTACAATATGAATACATACTTCAAATAATTTCAGGACTTTTTCAAGTAGGTGATTTGCCCATATAGTCATATACACAATACTGTCACTTAAACAAATTACACCATTCTGTAAAGTAATCAGTCTTGGCTATACAACCTTGTTTCTGTGATTGAGGTATCATATAAAGGTCTGTCAGGTTATCTATTCTAACCCAATGGTTTTGTAGACATGTCACCTGCAACAAGATAAAAGGTCCTAAACCCAATATCTTGATCACAAAAACGAGGCTGTATGGCCAAGACTGAAAACTTTCCAGAAGGGTGTATTGACTGAGTTCCTTAATTCAAATACTAATTATTGGTTTCTGAAGATTACACAGCACGGCACATACTGTCCACATCTGATTGACGACACCAAACAAGTTCAGTGGAACAATACCATCCCATATTTTGAAGTTCTTAATTTTGTTGATTGCTCGCTCAACATGCACCCTTAGGGAAGCAATACTTTGGGTTTTGACTACATCTTCAGCACTCATTTGGCCTTGCATTCCCAGAAATGGAGGTATATTCAACCCTACCCCAGGTGGTAATAAGTCATCTATGGTGAATCCCTTGTCAGCCATGACCGAGTCTCCATTATTGAACTGCTGGTCCAAGAAACCACTTCGCATCACAATTTCTCGGTCAGAGATGTGCCCAGTGTATAGTTGGCTAACAAATGACATTGCTCCACCAGGAGTTATGCCAACCAGACACTTAAGGGTAGCATTGTTCTTGTAGGAACTAAATAGTTCACTGTTCAAGAGAAGGCTGCTTGGCATCTGGCATTTGATCTCGGTGCAGTCAATAATCACTCTAGTTGAGGGAAATTTTTCTTTAAATTGCTCTGGCATATATTTATCCACCAACTCCCGAGAAGGCCACATTGGTACATCCTTAAGTTTCAAATAAAGAAAATTCACCCAAGTAACAATAATTCTGCTAATGGTGCTCTGAGACACCCCATACAAATGTGCAAGGTGTTCTTCAGGGAAACCTTGCCTCAGTCTACACAATGTTATAAATAGTTCCTCCTTGGGATGAAGTATTCTTGGCCTGCCCTGTTTTGTTGAAAAATCACTAGAAGTAGAACCTTCACTTGTAGTCGCAGAATGCCAGTAAGAAATATTTTCACCATGTTCTCCGGGATTACAAAACTCATACAGAGCATCAAATAGTTTCACATCTGGAAAGCCAGTATAGAATTGAAAACTGTTGTTGTCATTGTAAAATCGACTGAAACAAAACACTTTACGCTCACTGTTTGTGCACCTCTCCGTCAAGTCCTCGACTCTGGTCTTCAGTTCGTTGAGTTCAGTTTCAAACGCGTTTGTTTCCTCCCTTTCTGGCCCCGTAACGTCTTCCTCTAAATGGCTAGATGATTGACCAGCCAGTTCATCACTGTCAGAGTCTGGATCTATAAATTGAATGTTAGATCTTGATTTTGCTGGGGACTTTCTCTTCTTGGGAGAAGCTGTTTTCCATTCGAATCTCGACGGCACTGCCCCGTCTCGAAGCGTACGTCTGCCAGTTAGTGAAATTTCAAAATCCCCGTCTTTAAAATGCCTTGAGCAAACACGAGTGTTGTCTGTAACCTTGAAATGTCGCCCAACGTCTCGACGAATCGCACGAATCCACTCGTCGAACAGATGCTTTTCCTGTGGAAACTTGAAGTAAGAGATCTTTTCCCCCCCTTCTACGTATCCTTTCTTCGTGCAATGGGGAACACAACAGTTTTTCGGCATTTGGAAAGAATATAGAGCTCGAACACATGGTTTATTATAGTCTAGTTTTTCGTAACTTGATACAGTTGATATGGCCATGTTGTTGTCATCACTCCTCGCGGTATAAATCTCGCGATTATAGCACAGCTGGACGTCGTAAGGCATGAATTTTGCCATAAATTTCATCTTTAGCGGTATCGAATTGTCCATGTACAAAAGAAATATCTTTTTCGGCCAAAAAGTGGGCAAAAATTTTTAAAAACTTCTCCCTCGTCGTATAATCTATAATAATTTCGCAAAATCTGGCCCCCTTTGCCTCGCTTTCATGTTGGCGGGCGCCATTTTGGAATAAGGTGTATATAGCTAGTGTGAACACCAAACGTGATTGGCTGATTTGTAGTCACGTGGCTTTAGATAAATGCAATGTATCCCGCCCGGGCAATAAGCCAATAAGTGAAAAATTGTTGCCCGCCCCGACCGGCTACGTACATAAATAAACAAAATGGCGGCACAAATTTATACTATTTAACCACTGTTTTCGTGGCTTTGTGTTAAAATAAAGAATGTAAAAGAGAAGAAAAATACATAACAAGCAACAGGATATGCTGCTGAAACCATTTAAGTAGGGTTTTTAAGTTAAACTCGTTTATGCTACAGAGTTTTTGTCATGAAATACAAATATTGTTGTATAAATGTTGTATGAATGTTGTTCAATGTTGATATTTGTTTCGTCGCTATATAACAAAACACTTAACGTCTTTTCCCTCGAGAAATAGTTAGTTTTGTTTTCCCTCGAATCTCAATGTTTCCCTCGACTTCGTCTCGGGAAACATTGAGATTCTCGGGAAAACAAAACGAACTATTTCCCTCGGGTGCAGACATTAAGTGTATATTGTTGGTGAACGAATAGTCTAAATTTAAGGAAAGTTCCTTAAAAGTGAGAACGCTGCACAGGCGGCCCCAATCTCTGAACGTCCTATATATTTTGAATATTTAACCGTTTATATAATATTTTAAAATAACAAAAGAATTCAAAAAATATTAACAATACATGTAAAAAATATATCTCACTTGTTAATAGAATCCATTTGTTGTGTTTCTGAGTCTAGTTGATGCGATTGCTTTACGTTTTCGTCGTACTTGAACGGTCATCAGTACTATGGCGCTAGACGACATGGCCGTATAGGACATAAATAACTACAAGGCTAACCACTTATCTGATATACTCTCCGACATCGAGTCCAATATCTCGCCTCAGAATCGTCGCAGGGCAATAAATTTCACATCGTCTAATAGCACGAACGTTCCTCTTTCGAAAGAACTTGGTTTCTTCACCATTGCGGCAATTCCCGCGACACACGACGAACTTTGTTTCTCAAAAGTCCAAATTTCCATTTTCGACAGACGCGCTAACCCCATGATCGTCGCCACGAGAGCTGCTCAGCAACCTGGCCTCCTCGTGTGAAAACATTCCATCAGGGGGGAGGAGCTGGACTGGAATGATGGGGCTTTCAAAGCAACACGATAAAACACACGATATAAATAGAAATTATTACTTTATCATGCTGTATTCGACAATAAACAAGTATTAAACATTTATATCGTGTGTTTTATCGTGTTGCTTTGAAAGCCCCCTCATTCCATTCCAGCTCCTCCCCCCCTGATGGAATGTTTTCAAACGAGGAGGCCAGGTTGCTGAGAAGCTCTCGTGGCGACGATCATGGGGTTAGCGCGTCTGTCGAAAATGGAAATTTGGACTTTTGACAAACAAAGTTCGTCGTGTGTCGCGGGAATTGCCGCAATGGTGAAGAAACCAAGTTCTTTCGAAAGAGGAACTTTCGTGCTATTAGACGATGTGAAATTTATTGCTCTGCGACGATTCTGAGGCGAGATATTGGACTCGATGTCGGATAGTATATCAGATAAGTGGCTAGCCTTGTAGTTATTTATGTCCTAGTATGGCCATGTCGTTCAGTGCCAGTACTGACGACCGTTCAAGTACGACGAAAACGTAAAGCAATCGCATCAACTAAACTCAGAAACACAACAAATGGATTCTATTAACAAGTGAGATATATTTTTTACATATATTGTTAATATTTTTTTAATTATTTTGTTATTTTAAAATATTATAACGGTTAAATATTCAAAATATATTAGGACGTTCAGAGATTGGGCCGCCTGTGAACGCTGTTGGTAAATTTCCATCCATCAAAATCACTTGACGTCATTTTTGGCTCGTGTCCTGGCTCGAGTCCTAGGTCGAATCCTGGCTCGAGTCCTGGCTCGAGTCCTGGCTCGAGTCCTGGCTCGAGTCCTGGCTCGAGTCCTGGCTCGAATCCTAACTCGATATTTAGGTACCCTCAAAGATTGGAATGATTGTCAAAAGCTAAATGTTATAATAAGTAAATAACGTTTTTGTACTAAAAAATATGTAAGGAAAAGTTCTTAAACAAGATATTTCTAATTTTCTCACGCTTCTAAAAATAGGACTGATTCAAAACTTGTTCATTGTCGAATACGGATGATAAACAGAGGATGATAAAGAAATCATTTCTCTTTATATCGTGTTTTTTATCGTGTTGTTTTGAAAGCCCCTCATTCCAGTGCAGATCCTCCCCCCCTGGCGGAGTGCATTCGAACGAGAAGGCCAGGTTGCTGAGCCGCTCTCGTGGCAACGATCATGTAATGAACGGTTCTGTCGAAAATTTAATTTTGAATTTTAGACAAACTAAGTTCGTCGTGAGAATTGCCGCAATGGTGAACAAACCAAGTTCTTTCGAAAGAGGAACGTTCATACTATTAGGTGATGTGAAGTTTATTGCTCTGCAACAATTCTGAGGCGAAATATTTGAGACTCGATGTCGGAGTGTATATCAGATAAGTGGGTAGCCTTGTAGTTATTTATGTCCTATATGGCCATGTCGTCCAGTGCCAGTACTGACGACCGTTCAAGTACGACGAAAACGTAAAGCAATCGCATCAGCTAGACTTAGAAACACAACAAATGCATTCTATTAACAAGTGAGACATATTTTTTTACATATATTGTTAATATTTTTTTAATTATTTCGTTATTAAATATTATATAAACGGTTAAATATTCCGTATAAATATTCAAAATATATAGAACGTTCAGAGATTGGGCCGCCTGTGTTTATACATTTGCATATGAATCAGTGGGTTGGAATAAAACGTTTTCACTTTCTCATGTCCTGAGAATTACCTGAATTCTCCTGAAAATCTTCTGCAAATCTACTTAATTTTACCTAACAGTGCACTGGAAATCTACCTGAAATTCCTTATGAGCAATTATCAGGGGTGTTGCACCCCCCCCCCCCAGTGAGTTCCAAGCAAACACTCTGTGATTTATTGTTCCTGTATTTCACCTCCCAAAATATTGTGCATCATACTATACAGCATTTTGCTGTTGTCATGCTCTAGCATGGTTCAAATTTATGAATTTTTATTATATAAAGTATAGTGTTTTACAGAGATTTCAAGCACTGATAAAAATGATAATCTCACATGTGAAATTATTCATGATAATCTCACATGTGAAAATTATCGCCATTTCAATTATCGCTTTTCTGTAAAAATTATCGCTTTTCATTTAAGACTGTCCTTTATATAATAAACAGAAAAATACATGGGTGGTTGGAAATACCAGATTTATTTTTCGTGTTGAACATGACATCTCACTCGTTCGCTGCGCCCACTTGTTCGCTGCACACTCATGATCAACACTCGAAATAAATCTGGTATTTCATGCACCCATGTATTATTCTCTATTTAAACTACAACTTGACTGGTTTAAATTATTATCAAGTTATCAGGGATTGTAAAAGTTGCAGATAGAAGTGCTTTGTTTTATATTATTATCAAGTTATCAGTGATCGCAAAACCTATATTTATAAAATATATATCTATAATCAGGTGTGCGGGTTGTGATAAGGTGGACTTCAATAATTTGGATTCTTGTACTTCACTTGTTGGAATTAATATTAGAATGTTAGGGTTTGTAATCCAAGTGAGCATATACACATTTTAAGACCTAACCAGGAACGACCGCGAAAAATGCAGCACGAGGTCCTCTGGTAGGAATTGAACCTACGGCCCTGCAATTCCGGTGCAGCGCTCTAACCAACTGAGCTACAGAAGATGTTTCGTATATCGGGTGTGCGGGTTGTGATAAGGTGGACTTCAATAATTTGGATTCTTGCACTTCACTTGGTGGAATTAATATTAGAATGTTAGGGTTTGTAATATATACATTTTAAGACCTAAGTACAAAATTTATTTACTCATATTTATTTACAAAATTTATAAAACAAGCGTGGCAAAGTACTGTTTTATTTGCTGTCTGTCAGTTTTAATCGAACGACCTTTTATTCTACATGCAGTTCAATAAAATGAATTTATGTATCGGTTTTAATATCGTTATTGTCAGCACTAAAATATTTTGAAATCTGTGTCTCACCCTACGGCTACAAATTGTGCATTTGAATTTCTGTTATATCTTTTTAAATTTTTGTATTTATCCGATCAATTTTTAAAATTCGGTCTGCAAACTTTATTTGTGTTACTTAAACGTTGGAGATTGTGTTAAGGTTTTTGATAAATTCCAATTTCCAAAGTTTCCAAATAATATAATAACATTTCCAGTTACTGTTGATTTTGACAATTATTGCAATTTTTGATTGTCGTGACCTCAACCGCTACAAATGTCAACTGATCAAAGATCGTTGAGTTTTGCGTTCGAAATTATGCCAGATAATTTCCTCAAATTGTAGTTCCTCGGCTGAACAATTGATACATTGTATAAAACATTTGGCTGCTTCGAGCGAGCGATTCAATTAAATTTGCACGTCGTTTTTAGACCGCGAGAGACATTGCGATATATAATCCTATCAACTGACCAACTAATTTTCGTATAACTTGAATATTTCGATGCATTTTAAAACATTTTTAAAGTTAATACTCGCAAGCTTCGCTCCTCGCCTGAAGATTTCACACTGAATATATAATTAGGGTCAAAAGCCTACTTAGGGGGTGGGGTAACGTAACACGGCCACTGATATTTGAGATACGTCTATTTTGTTCGATTTATGGCAGGCCTCTCTCCCAGAAAATTTTTTTTCAAAACCCATTCGCAGGCTAGAACCCATAGAGAGGCC